AAAAAAAAAAAAAAAAAAACCCTGCGCGAGGGCCCAAAACGTAAGTGAGAACACTTTTGAAACAAAGTGAGAACACTTGTGGATTGTACCCGGCCTCGTGAACGTAACTCGTTCGCCCACCAGACGCTATCAAAGTGTGCCGCATTCAAAGTGGCTCTCTCACCATCTCTGTGTACAGGGTCCACGAGGAGTTCGAAGTTCCGCCGACGAACTATTGCGAATGCATCTGTTCAGCGTTTGCGTTCACATTCATCCCGTTTTTTTCAGCTTTTGCGTTCACATTCATCCCGTTTTTTTCCCGTGTTCTCCCTACATGTAGGTAGAGTCGCGCTGTTTAGTACGGTCCATGGGCCTCGCTGCACTACTCTCGAAATGTGCAAACCGAGAGTGAATCTTCCGCTAGAATATGGAAAGATGCACTGCCATGATTTTTGTCTTTTGTGCATGGCGAGAGTAGTGCAGTGAGGCCCCATGTTTGGAGCGCTCAGGGCATCCTGAGCTCCTGCCCCTCCATCGATTCAGACCCCCGAAACGGACGCCTACCAGTAACGAATTGTCGCGTTGCTATCTTGGTGATTGGGTTGACTGCAATGCTTGTCGCTTACCCGTTATGCCTTGGCCGTCGGCTCCCTCAAACTCAAACATCGCCGGTTCCCTCTGTGCAAGGCGTGGAGGCAGAGGGGCAGAGGGGCGGAGGGGCGCGAAGTTGGAGCGCTTGCGGGCGCGTTGGTATCAGAGGTGGATGTCGGCTCCGCGGCAGGTGTGTGGATTACCGCTTTGGAGCTGTCACTGTGCGCCTTAGTAATTGGCCTCTTCGAATGCTTCTTTGGCCATTCTGTCCCTCTCATGGCTTGTTCTTGTGCTTCGCTCACCGCTGTTGGCTCTTCTTCTTTGTACATTCTTCTTTCATCCCTTTGTACACGTCCGTGACACTTCTTCTCCGTTCTGTCCTTCCCAGCTCGTCATCTTTCTCCTCGTCTCCCTTTCTTTACTCTTGTTCTTGATCTTCTCCCCTTTCGTGTGTATTTCTCCTTCTTCCACAATTTTCTTAACAAACTTCGACTGCGTGTGCGCAGAGGGTATATGTGCGGTTCTGTAGTGTGTGTGTGTGTGTGTGTGTGTGTGTGTGTGTGTGTGTGTGTGTGCGTGCGTGTGTATGCGTGCGTGTGTGTGCATGCGTTAGTCCGTGTGTGTGTGCGTGCGTCCGTGCGCGCGCGCGCGCGCG